GTGGGGGCAGTCAGGGGGTCAGGCACTGTGGAGTGGCAGGCACCAGGGAACACAGGCACTAGAGAGCAGGGAGTAAGGGGGGCAAGTGGTGGGAGACAAGTGTCAGAAACATGGGAAATTATCATAAATTTTATACGTTTTCCATGCATAGAATCTAATTATTGGGGGGGAGGGGGGAGGAATCTTAAATTTGAAGTCATCTTAGATTCAGGTAGATACAGTATATCTGCATGGATAGTATATAACTTTGTATGCCTTGATGTACACTCTGCATATATTAGTCCAACGGACTGTAAAATATATGTGCTGTGTGGTTAAACACAATAAGTGGGGACAGGAAACTTCAGAACTGTGGTATTCGCAGGGGAACACACTGGCAACACATACAAAGGACCCAGATCACTTTTGATAACAACGTTGGTAGGCTCCAATCACTTACCAGGAGACTGGAAAAAGGAGAATTAAGTTGAGAGGAATATTGAGACAGGAACAAAAGTCTGGAAATATTTCTTAAAGCTAAATGCAATTCAGTAAGTTTGAAAGGAAGAGTTGTTCATTGTTTTTATCTTATCACATATTCTTATTGTTGTAAATCTTGAAAAATTAAAGAAAATATTTAGCATTTGTTGGGAACCTTTGAACTCTGACTAAGTATGACTTAATTACAAACATGCCGTACCTACACCAGCTGTGGCAGGTGGGATATATCTTACAGCTGACATATTTAATGCTTGCTACATTTGTCCATCTGTTAGGAGAATTCATCAAACAAGTTAAGAATATATCTGTTTTATACTAAGGCAAATAATAGAATTAGATCAGATACTCAGTTCATATTCAGTTCACTTTAATTTCATGATCAATATGAAGTCATTTAATTGCAGTTTTTATGATTCATCATAGAGCTAGCTGAAAAACAACAGCTTTATAATTATTATAATGCCCATGATAAAAGATAGCAAGGTTTATTAATAAGAATGTGTTTGACTATATAAAGAAGACAGTTTTTGAGACTACTCTAACTGTAGTCATATGAAGGTGTAAAACAGAAACTATAGGACCTGATTCTGGTACTATTTACATAAATAAAAAAATCAATTAGTAAAAAATGACTTCAGTACTAGATTGGGTTCATAGGCAGTACAAAATAAAGCTCTTTTTTATACTGGTACTGCTCTTCCCTGCATGGACATTTCTTTTGTGCTTTCTGTTTCAAGGATTCAGCATCCTACAGCTATTTTTTTTTATTGCCGTTATCATTGAGAATATTTTTAACTAACATTTTATTTTAAACGGTATGTAGAGACCTAGCATAGTCACATAAAATATAAATTAGAGACTTTAGATTATCTTAATGTTTAGTTATAGGATTTATGCCTAGCCCTTATTAGCACACACATTGAAACTAGCCAAAGTGCTGGTATATACTATGGATTAATTCCCCTGCAGAGGTATCTAGACAGCTTTATATTGCAAGTGGCTATTGTATTTTTTCAATTTGTGGCAGAATTAAATATAAATATCATCAATGGTGGTCCAGTTAGCCTGTGTTTACAGCTCGCGTGCAACTTGCCCCTCTGCCCTTACTTACCCTACTGCATTGGTGGGTGGGGGATTAATCTAAGACAACCACCCAGCAATAGATTCTATACATGGGAAATTATCATAAATTTTATACGTTTTCCATGCATAGAATCTAATTATTGGGGGGGAGGGGGGAGGAATCTTAAATTTGAAGTCATCTTAGATTCAGGTAGATACAGTATATCTGCATGGATAGTATATAACTTTGTATGCCTTGATGTACACTCTGCATATATTAGTCCAACGGACTGTAAAATATATGTGCTGTGTGGTTAAACACAATAAGTGGGGACAGGAAACTTCAGAACTGTGGTATTCGCAGGGGAACACACTGGCAACACATACAAAGGACCCAGATCACTTTTGATAACAACGTTGGTAGGCTCCAATCACTTACCAGGAGACTGGAAAAAGGAGAATTAAGTTGAGAGGAATATTGAGACAGGAACAAAAGTCTGGAAATATTTCTTAAAGCTAAATGCAATTCAGTAAGTTTGAAAGGAAGAGTTGTTCATTGTTTTTATCTTATCACATATTCTTATTGTTGTAAATCTTGAAAAATTAAAGAAAATATTTAGCATTTGTTGGGAACCTTTGAACTCTGACTAAGTATGACTTAATTACAAACATGCCGTACCTACACCAGCTGTGGCAGGTGGGATATATCTTACAGCTGACATATTTAATGCTTGCTACATTTGTCCATCTGTTAGGAGAATTCATCAAACAAGTTAAGAATATATCTGTTTTATACTAAGGCAAATAATAGAATTAGATCAGATACTCAGTTCATATTCAGTTCACTTTAATTTCATGATCAATATGAAGTCATTTAATTGCAGTTTTTATGATTCATCATAGAGCTAGCTGAAAAACAACAGCTTTATAATTATTATAATGCCCATGATAAAAGATAGCAAGGTTTATTAATAAGAATGTGTTTGACTATATAAAGAAGACAGTTTTTGAGACTACTCTAACTGTAGTCATATGAAGGTGTAAAACAGAAACTATAGGACCTGATTCTGGTACTATTTACATAAATAAAAAAATCAATTAGTAAAAAATGACTTCAGTACTAGATTGGGTTCATAGGCAGTACAAAATAAAGCTCTTTTTTATACTGGTACTGCTCTTCCCTGCATGGACATTTCTTTTGTGCTTTCTGTTTCAAGGATTCAGCATCCTACAGCTATTTTTTTTTATTGCCGTTATCATTGAGAATATTTTTAACTAACATTTTATTTTAAACGGTATGTAGAGACCTAGCATAGTCACATAAAATATAAATTAGAGACTTTAGATTATCTTAATGTTTAGTTATAGGATTTATGCCTAGCCCTTATTAGCACACACATTGAAACTAGCCAAAGTGCTGGTATATACTATGGATTAATTCCCCTGCAGAGGTATCTAGACAGCTTTATATTGCAAGTGGCTATTGTATTTTTTCAATTTGTGGCAGAATTAAATATAAATATCATCAATGGTGGTCCAGTTAGCCTGTGTTTACAGTATAGTTTGGGGAGGGGAGAGGTTAAATCCCTTTTATCAGGCCTCGCAAGTTGATCCTCTCTAGAGTATTTTTTAGATATCCTTTCTTTTTTTTCCCCCTCTGACTTCTCACAAGCATTTTGGCTGTTCTTCATGCATCACAGCAGAATAAAAAGCCTTTAAGTTAAGGCCTACTCAATTTCTTTTTATCTCTCTTCAATGCACAAAGACCATAAAGAGCAAAGAGAATGTTGAAATGGTTCTGAAAGTAAGTGTCTACAGGCAGGAAGGGTTGTCTACTCCACTGGAAAAGGCTTGGATCATCTGTGAAGAGGAAGGGGAAGGGAGGAGCGAAATGGTAGGGAAAAAAAGCAGAAGGGCGCATACCCGGAGCACTAAAAAAGAGAGCAAGTGATGGAAAATGAGAGTAGGACTGGAGAGAAATGCAGGTTGAAAATAGATTGAAACAATTATTGAGAAACAGAGAAATGCATGCTAATTCTGTCCTGAATCCTTGTGTAGCAATGACAGAAGCTCCTCAATGGGATGTGGAAGGTCAGTGTGTGACCACTTATGATTGCATGTGCTTTAAGGTGCCTCCCTAATGAAGCTTTTCTCTGTTTCTGTCAATAGTTACAGAAGGTTCATTTCACTGATCTAGGCTTGATCAGATATTGGAGTGTTTGAAAAAGTTCAGTGATTATTAGAATGTCTCTATCCCGAAGGATTCTTGGTCTTTTTTTCACAATGTGATTTTTTTTATAATATGACAGGTTAATATAGATTAACTAGCCTGAATTCAAAAGAAAGAAAGTTATAAATATTTACTGATGCATTAGGGTTGAACCAGAAGAATTTCTGTGCTATTTGTACATTAAAATATAGGTGTTTTGTCCTTGGAAGCCCTGAGCAGGCAATTCAGGAGTACAATGTGCTATAACTTCAGTAATTTAGACCCAGGGGATAAACACTTTTTATCAAATAGGACAGCTAGTGAGAATGAACCTATGAGCTTGTTTATTTCTCTTTTTGATATATAAATACGTATTTTGTATTGTATATCCACAGTATAGTAGGCTGTGTTTCATACTTGGAAACCAGTTTAAAAAGGTTTGGGGCATAAAGCAGTATTAATCCCAAAGCTCCCTCCCTCCATGCCCCCCCCCCCTCCAGATTACTGATTCAATGGCTATATCATTTGTTTTTCATGTCTTTCCCCCCACCAAATTCCTCACATGCACACTCTGGTTTAAACATATGTTTCTCAATTAGGTAGTAAAAATTGAGACACGCTTACATCTTTAACATAGTAATTCTTTAGTTAATCGCACTTTTAGGGGAAAAAGGCTATAATTCACTGATGCTGTTTAAATCTTTTATGCTGGGTTATGTATAAATAACTACAAATGTGTGCAATGGTTACATTACATGGTATATTTAACAACAGAGCTAAATCATAAGGTATGAGCAATGCCTTTAGTGATGCGAGTGTTTGTGATTGCATGCAGGAGATTTTTGTTCTGCAACCATGGAAGAAGTAATTGGTGTTCAGCAGTATTCAGTTAAGTTTACATATCAGTAAAAATACATGCACAGAAGCACAAATTATTTTTCTGTTGTTCAAGCAATAATATGAATGCAGCATATATTAACGCTTTAGAGCATTATCATGTGATTTAGAGCTATAGAAACTGTTGCAGCGTTCAAATGTTGCAGTCTGTGTCTTTGTTGATGGCATTAATTTTCAACATTTGGTGGTAAAATAACATCACTGACAGGCCAACAACTTCTCAATACCACCATTTTTCATGTAGTTTTTTGCCACCTGAAATTTTGCAGTTACCCATTTTACAAACTTACTGCTTCTCCTGGTGATAGAGTACAGGCCTGGATGTTTAATGATTTTTTTTTTCTTATTTTAGATGGAAGACTTTATTTGAAAACTACTGTCATGTACTGAATCTTTCCTGCTGGAGATACCTGTGCTATGGTAAAGGACTTTGCAGTAAGACATCCAATATTTGGAAGTTCTATTAAAACAAAGTGTTTTCAAGGCAACTTCCTCAATGTGTGTATTAACATTCTTCAAAGTTTAAAACATTCTGCAAGAGTGTCCTCCATTGGTTATCACCTGTGGCTCAATCCAGAGGTCTAGAGAATGTTTGTAAATGTCTAAGAAGCACTCTTCTTCCTTCAGTGAAAATCTGCAGCTCTGCTGTTAGATCCCCTTGTATACACAGTTACAGATGTGTCAGAACAAGGCCTAGTGTTCTTTTTTTGAATGGGATGCAAACTCTTTCCTCCTCTGATCATTCTGTATTTGAGCACATCAGGCGTTCCTTCCAGCAGTGTTCCCCTATATTTGCAGACTATGTCATACCTAAACCAGCAAGACTGCTCAGAAGTAAACCTGTAAGAGGGCATGAGAGGATTCTTACAAAAAAATAAAAATAAAGCAAAAGAAAAAAAATAGTTACATTCAGTTTTCAAACTCGAGAATTGTGGGTTTTCTTCTAAAGACATTTTTTTCACCTACTTTCCAAGAGACCAATGTGTGGACATTAGATCACAATAAACTAAATGAAATTTTGTCAAAGTGAAAAGAAATGCTGAATGTAAACAATACTGTTTTACTGTTCATAAAGTCTCTTTTCCTAGAAGAAAAATAAATAAAGAGTAATAATTTCTCATTCTAAACTGGCAGGGGTTTATGAAATAAAAGACTTTGCTTCTTTATTCAAACTGTTGGTCACATGTACAGTATACGAACACAACCACACACGGAAGGTATTATGTATGCAGTAGAATACTAGAGTTTAGGAAAATGAAAATTTTAGATAATATGTTTTGTCACCCTGTTGGTCAGAAAGACGCCTTTCTAGTTTTAACGCATGCAGGCATGTAAATATTTGTCCTGGAGTCACAGTATTACTGAATGAGATGTTAAGCATCTGGTAACAAGTCAGAATTCTGTATCAGCCACTTTTATTTGTATATTGAGCCCTGCTTAGTGCCCTGTTAGTGCACTTTTAAGAATGAACTGTGGCTGAGCAGCAAGTCAAACACCAGAAATATTTTTATATGTTAATGTCATATTACGTCAATGTTACTAAAAAAAGAAAACCTAACAAACACTTGATGTATCAGTCCAATTCCACGTAGAGCTGAGTGAAGTCTATTTTCCTTCCCTGCCTTGTCTTAGGGAAGGGTGGTTATGTGTTCCTTTCACTGTCTTTATGAAAGTTACAATATGTGTTTTCACCTGTGTGCTGATAACTGGAAGTAAGCTGCAACACAGTGCTTATTACATACAAGAATTATGTTCTTTGCTTTGCATACTTTTGGGTTACCCCTTTAAAGACTGATTTTGTGAATCAGTGCTGTTTACTGTAAGTTTTGTGATTATGCTTTTTTCACCTTTAATGTTTTATGCATATAAATATTATTTATTTCATGGAAACATATCAGAACCTTTAATGTCTAAGATGACTAACTTAAAAATATTTCTTTAAAAATAGTTCTGATTGGATATTAATATTATTTTGTCAAAGTAAAAAGAAAAAAATGTTTTGTAAACTCTAGCACTGAGCTTCTATAGTTTGTAGGTCTTCCTGGCAATATCGGTACACACTTCTTTTGTGTAGCCCATCTTTACTCCACCACAATCCTTTTTTAACAATAGAAAAGTTGTATATACAAGTTCACATCAAGGCGATTTTTTTTAAAGAACTATTGAGCAATATTTTTCATTAAATATTATTGGGTAATACTTTGTAGTAACATTATTTTCTAATCATGATTCTTTCATAACTTTCATAGTTGAACACTTTAGAGATTCTGGACTCCACATTTTTCATATGCAGTCTTTAAAGGGTTAACAGCTGTAAAGTTAGATGGATTTGTGGCAAGCTTTTGAATCATTCATATCTGAAAGAGAAGTAAAAGCCTACAACTGAAACATGTAGTAGCATCTGCCATTGCTCTGCTCCTTGCATAGAGTCACCTGTAAGTAGGTTTAATAGTTTTACAGTATATATTTTGAAGACCTTTGGGAATGCCTCAGTGTTTGGCTTGGTACATAAATGGAAATCTTATGGATTAAGGGGAAACAGTTTTTAAACTGGATGTTGAGAGAGAATCTTACTAAAATGGTGTAAATATTACAATCCATGAAATGTTGCTGTAATTTCAATTTTTGCCCTTCTTTAGTTATACAAATTTTGGGTTTTTTTGCATAGATGATGAAAAGTTGTGCTCATGTTATTGTTTATATGCTTTTGTAATCTTAAAGATATTAATGTCTAGTTGTTCTATATTATAACCACATTTGCGCTCTATGCAAGCCCTTGGAACAGAACATACTCATCTTCATGTAGGACCTATGAAAATTGTCTATTTTTATCTATATATTTAAAGTTTTCTAAAAATGATAAAAGGTTATTACGAATTTTGTTGTACAAAATCTGTACAAAAATCTGTTTTTACATCATAATGCAAGAATTGGAAATTTTTCTATGGTAGCCTAGTTATTTGAGCCTGGTTTCAATGTGAGAACCACGTTTACTGTTATTGTATTTAATTTTCTTTTTCTTTTCAACAATCTGCTAATAAAACTGTCTGAAATCTCCCTGCGACTTTATTTACAGTTCATCTTTATTAAATTTTGTGAAATGTATAACATCAGAGGAATATTTACTTTCTAATGGGAGGCATCTGAAAACAACATAAGTCAGCTCTTTGTAATGCGAGAAGAACAATGCTGAATGATTTTATTTAACATGCAACTGCTTCTATCTCTAATATGAATTACTGTGGTGAAAAAACATCATAAAAGCACACTCTGTGGTTATTGTTTAACAAGCAGATTTTCCATATTTTTTTTCTTGCCAGCTAAGCAAGCTGCCCCCATCTACATGATTTATTTATGTACATTTCTCAGTTTATGAAGCTGTTATTTGTACCTTTTTTCCTTTATATTGTGATATTCCCATGATTCTTATTTCACAAACCTTTGTGCTGAATAATGTAAAGTGGACACATTGATGGAAGAAAACATATTATTCCCATAACTACAAGGGTGTGGGGGCAGCCAAGTTGTTTTCATCTCCAGTCTCCTTCAAATGATACAACAGATTTGGAAACTTTGATATCCCAACACATTTATTTTTTTATATATTTATCTTTTACAAACAGCAGGTGCTTTAAATGTGTAGAGATGTACTTGAAAAAAATACTGCTGGCTTTGCATCTGTTCCAATGTTTTTGAAGGAGCAGAGAAGTTGATGGCATTTTTGAAGATAAAGGCAGGTATTTAAAAACAAATCTAGAATGATGATCTTTTTGCACTGGAAAACCACAAAAGTCTGATACGCTTGTTACATGTAAGGGTAATTTTGCTGTTCACAGTGATGAGTATATCTGAACAACACCTGCAAGATTAATCCCCCTCTTCGTGGTGAAGCAAGTTTCCTTTGGGAATCAGAAGGGGATTAACTCAGCTGGACCAGTTTATTTCATTTTCCCTGAATATTCTGAGGATTGCAGTTATGTGGTTCAAGGGCTAGATATAGTTCAATGAAAACTGGCTGATGGCCAACTTTTCAGCCTTTTTGGAGCCTTTTTAACCTCTTCATACAGACCAGCAACATTCTTCTTCATCTTTCCAAGTTAAAATGCTCTAGACGTCCTTTGCAGGGTGCAGTGGTAAAATTATACAGATAAGAGATGAAGAAGACTGTTTAGCCTCCCAACTTACCTACACCAATGCAGACATTCTTTGCAGTGTCTAGTATTTTTCCAGTACATTTTTAAATACCTTCAGTAATATGCTTTCTCAGCAACCTGGCTTCTGAGCAATATTGGCTTCATTCCTTCAACCCTTTGTGGTTAATTATCATTTTATCAGTCAGGCAGTAAAACAAAAATGTTAAGCCATCAGTGTTTAGGTGATTTGACTTGCCATCTACACAGGTAACTTTTAATTCTCCTCCCATGAAAAGCAAGAAGGCAAGAAGACATGGGAAAATACCAATGGAGGAAATGTCAGAGAGAAGCCAGATCCAAGAAGCAGCCATGAAATTCTGCCAAGAGAAACCCTTCACTGTCATATTACATCTAGACGTGACAAAGTCTTCAGTGACTTTGGAGTCAGGCTTTTGAATGGGATGGAAAATATCCACATAAAGATTTAGAAGAGTCAAAAGCTGATAAATGTAGCTAAGAAATATAGATGTGTATGTAATGAAATATGTTATCATAGTAAATAGGGAGCAGTAACACTCTAGCCTGAAAATAAGACACTAAATATCTTTATAAAGAAAAGATGGTCTGGCTCAGATATTTCCCAGCTCTCATATGTTATCTTGACTTTCCATCCATTGTTTCAGAACAATTTTAAATTGTTTAAACAAAGTGTTGTACTCCTTTGTAAAGCTCAACCACAAGCTGTGGAGTTCTTGGAGAAACTGAGTGACATGCTCTGAGAGTGACTACTGCACTGGACATCACATGGGACTTATGTGAAGGTATGCTTAGTCCCTGGATTCTGATTGACCATATGCAGGAGACGGGTGATGATCTGATCAGACTTGGGGCATTCTGGGTATGCTCAGGGAAGGTGCTGTAGGATCCTGGAGAACACAAAGGTCAACTTTGTGCCCAGTGAGTTTACTAGGTTTACCAAATTTCCACTTCCAAAAAAGAGGACAACTGTCAGGGGGACACCTCACTTCACACCCACAGCCCCCCAGCCTTGCCAGTGCCCCTCACTCCCAACCTGCAGCCCCCCCAACCCTGCTACTGACCCTCACTCCTAAACTACAACCCCTTTGCCCCCCCCACCAAGCTATGCTGGTGCCCCTCAGTCCCAACCCACAGCCCACCCCACCCAATCCCGGCTGGTGCCCCACACTCCTGACCCACAGTCCTCCATCCCAAGTGGTACACCTTACTCCTGATCTGCAGCCTCCTGCTCCCCCCAGCCCTACCAGAGAAGGCCCCCAGCCACTCCTGTCTTGACTGGGCCAGAGCATGCAATTTGTGTGGGTAGTGGCAGAGTGAATTCAGCCCTCACATGGGCAGGAGGGAAAAGGGGATGCCTGCAGCACCCCCGTAACCTGGCCATGCCCCCTCCCCCCTCCGCAAGCAAGGGCACCAGCCCTGGTGCCACTGGCCTAGCCACAGAGTTCCCTCTTCCCTCAAAGTGCCCCCTGCCCTGTTCCCCCACTGGAGGGGAAGGCATCATCCCCCTACTCCCTCTGCTCTGCCACAGCCCCAGTGCCCAGGCACACACACACACCCCCATCCCCTCCATACATCCCTGTCACACATGTACTGTCACACACCCTCCACAGCCCCTTGAACAGTTTAAAGCCCTGGCCCTTCAACCCCTGCCCCCCCACAGACTTACTTGCATCTAGCTGCTAAAGCTGCTCCCACAACCTTTCCTGGCTGCATGTTGGCCACGTGTGCGTGCATACTGACGCATCTGTGCCCACTGCCTCAAATCGCCCTCCCCCACTCCTGCCAGTGGAGCAAAGCAAAATCCCAGACATTGGTTCAGATTTAAAAAAAAACACCCGTGTGGAGAGTGGAGGGCCGAAAAAGAGGACATGTCCAGGAAAACTCAAATGTATGGTAAACCTAGCTCAGATAGGAGCATAACAAACCATTTCTGCACCCTGGGTGGCATGGTGGCTAGGACAGTGGCAGTGGCTGGCCTGGCAGCAGCGGCAGTCAGGCCAGCAGTGGCAGAAGCCACTCTAAAACAGCACCTGAGGCTGGCATCCTGCTCTCCCACTCTTAATTATTCTACAGAGTTTACAAATTGAATAACATTTGATCTGGGATTTTTGGACAGAAATTTTAGATGCAAGTGCCTCAGTCCTGTTTCAGATGTCTATGGATATGCCCGAATGAGCAAGCTCAGATACCAAAATATGTTCAGGAAGCAATTTAAGACCTTTTTATTGTGAAAGACTTTTAACAAGAGGGGGTTAAGTTTGGGGGCACTGCTTGGGGAGTTTGCTGTTTGTTACATACTATTCTCTTTTTAATATTTTATGTTTTTGTAATGTATCTTGCTTTTTTATTGTAATGCTGCCCTGAGCTTTTCTAGGGAGGGCAAGATATAAATCTAATAAATAAAATCAATAATAAATAAAAGAGATATAGCTGCATTAGTTCAGTGCTCCAAAAGCTGTTTGGGGTTTTATTTTATTTTTTCATCCTGGGTAAAGTGCCATTCGACTAGGGTTATACTGCTTTACTCAAGCTAGCTCAGCCATGTGTTATGTAGGCATGCTGTAACTCCTCAGGGGTTACCTACCTCCTAGTGGTGTGGTTTAAGACACATTCTACTTCTTATTGTTTCCTATTGGCTAGCTTAGGTAGTTGCCTACTCAGTGGGCGCACCTACACAAGGTGTTTAGTGTGGAATTGACTAATTAGCTCCCCAGTAAACGTCTCACATCTACAGATGCAACCCTATTAGTATCTTTACTAGTGTGACTCTATTAGTAGCAGTACTTGTAAAGAAAAATACTATCTTACTGCGGAGTTTTTCACTCTGCAGCAGCATACATGTAGACACTGATGCAGCTGGCTAGGGCAAAAAGGTGCTTCAGTGCAGGGCTGCTTGCTGGCTAGCCCCACACTGAAGCACCCTCATGCCCTAGCCAGCCCCTCCACAGCACATTGGGCAGGGTCAGAGCAGCCCCAGGCTGGCAGGCTGACCCCCCGGAACCTCTGACAGCCAGGGCTGCTCCAACCCAGTTTAATGTGCTGCGATCCTGGGCACACCTGTAGATGCAGCACCCAGGAGCAACATCTGGCCCCATAAGTGCTGGAATTCATTGCTTCACCATAATAGCACATGCAGACACACCCAATGGATTCCATTCTTTTGAGCTTGTCTCTTCCCCATTTGTTCTGTGTACATTAGTGGCAAGTTGCAAAGTAATTCATTATGCACCTTGGCTTAGGTATTGCCCCACCTAACTATTAAATACCTGCCCCAAGGCAACAATTCAAAATGGCCAACATCCCCAAAGTCTCAGTAGAAGGATCTAAGCAGCTGAGATTTCTGATTCCCATTTATGAATGTAAACTCACTGTGCATAAAAGGTTTATATCCTCCACTGGCCAATCCACACAGCTGAGATATGGAGGAACTTATCTACATTACTGATGACCAGAACAACAGAAGAGTGTCAAGCACAGCATCCTGCAGTTACACGCTAGTGGCTGGATAAAACAAAAAGAAGAAGTTACATGGAAGGAGATCTCTATGTTGATACAACAAAGATACTCATTCTTTCTACTCAACTGCTCTATAAGGATACCTGGGTCAATCCTTCTGTCTTCAGAGATGTACCTCAGTGCACTCCACACTAGTGTGTTGTTTCCCCCCTTTTCTAAGCTGAACATATCACCATATCCCAGCTATGGGTCATTCTGCCAGTTATGTACCTCAATCCCATCTAAAAATACACCCCAAATACTTTACAAGTTATGGCTTAGGAAGACACTGCAATCTATTTCCTAGATATATTCAAGCACATGGAGGCCCCAAGATCCTCTGCCAATGGAAAAGCAGCTTCTCATTCCATGGTGCTAGAATGGCG